TTCAACATTCTTTATTCTATGATTGTTAGGTGGGTTCTTCCCAATTATTACCAATTTCTTTTAACAAGAGATGTATTCTTTTGCTAATGACCCTAACCAAAGAGTGATGATGATTTCATTTGAAATCTTATTCTTCCCTTTGTCAAGTTCCAATAGAAAACACATTGACTCATTCGTTTCACAGATTTTTTTTTTTTTTGGCCAATCAGACGTGTTCTCATGTCCTGAAATTACGCTTGTCTTCTCTCAGTCTTCAAGGAAACCCTAGGATTTTCCCCTCTGTTTCAACTACAAAACCAACTAAGAAGAAATTTCCAGTGATAATTGTTGCATCAGTTGCTTCTGTGGCCATCCTCATTGTTGTGTTGATAATTTTTATTGTTCTCAGAAAGAAAAAGTCGTCAACTATGGAAGGTAAATTTTAGGAGACCTCTCATCAATCAAATTAAGGAACTACAAAAAAACTCATGCATATATATTATTAGGAGAAGGTAGATTTGGTGTTGTCTGTCACGGTATTCTGAATGGTTCCGAACATGTAGCAGTAAAAGTGCTCTCTCAATCATCTACTCAAGGCTATAAGCAATTCAAGGCAGAGGTATGCAAATCACAAATTTTCTTCTTTAGAAGTACTGTACGAGGATTTTTTATTTGTTATTTTTTCATCCAAGGTTGATCTTCTTCTGAGAATCCTTGTGTTTTCTTTTTCATGGATGAATGATGATTAGGTTGATCTTCTTCTGAGAGTTCACCATATTGCGATCTGGTAAGCCTCGTTGGATATTGCGATGAAGGAGATCACTTGGCTCTGCTCTATGAGTTTCTGCCGAATGGAGACTTAAGACAACATTTAAATGATGAAAACTTGAAATCAACACTTTCCAGTGATTTCACATGTATCAGTACTCTGTTTATTAACATTACGGTTCAGAAGGGTATAACGATCTAATATACAGGACAAGGTGTCAACCCATTATCAATTGGCGCAGCCGGCTACGAATTGCTCTGGAGGCTGCACTAGGTTAGTACTAAGCTAAACAATAGAACTAGAAGACTTCCCTTTCTAATGGATTATTAACGTAGGATAAATCCTTTGAATAGGATTGGAATATTTACACTCTGGATGCACTGGTTGTCTTGTGTCTGAAAACTCTAGGGGAAATATGAATATGGACACTCAGAGTTCCCCTGAAGTGACCATGAGCCTCGACACTGGGATGTTTCCCAGGGCAAGATAGGTTGTGGTGCAAGTAACACAACCATGTTGCGATTGGACTCTACACGACCATGTAAAAATATGTAAGATGAGAGCCGGTCGTTTTAGCTTTGACCATCGACATGTCACGAACACATTCTCTGTTACTTGGTGATGTTTTGTTTCTTTGTATGTGTATTGACTCTTAATAATATATGGAGTTTAAGTTCTTATCCAAACCCTTATCTATACCCTTAAACAAAATAATTTGGTTTATCACCTTAGCTAAACTTACAAGACTCACAAACTCGTGAGAGCTCTCGAACAAATAAAATAATTTCTTCTTGGACTTATCTTAGATAATTGATTCTCCTTTGATGTAGCCATTTGTTGCTTAACGTGCTTCTTGGTCTACTCCTTATTTTCCACTAAAGTTTGTTGCTAGTGATGTTGGAGCATTGTGTGTCCTCTTAACCCTCACCTTCTTCCCAGGGTGAAGCTGACACTAGAAAGCTCATTTTCACCATTGACTGGACAAAGTCTTTCTTTTAGTGTATGATTTGGGTTTG